ACACAAGAGGCAAATTCAGTCTTATCTATCTATCTATCTATCTATCTATCTATCTATCTATCTATCTATCTATCTACCTATGTCTCAAATTTAAAATATAGATCTAAATAATTAGCATCACACTGGTATGTGCCAGTGTTTTGGATTCAGAGAGAATGTTCATTCTTGAAAGCAAATCATTTTTAGCACTTCACATTTTTCACCTTCAGGGTGTTTTCCAGACTCTAAATTCATCTCAGCTTCTAATCCTTTCGTTAGGCAGATCTTTCATATCTCCCTCAAGTTGTGCTACGTTCTTTACTGTGCTGCAGAGCCTTTTAGCAGAATATTAGGGAACTGTCAATAGGCACCTGCAAGCACAATGAGATGATAAGTGGAAGAAGACAGCTTTAGGATGCACAGATGATTACATGATACAGGGCAGCTTTCACTCAAATACCCACCATGATATTTCAAATGCATCACAGAATCTGAAAATGGAAATGGATTTTTTCTCCATTGGACCATAAGATGGATAAAGTATATTGTTGATTCCCACCCACTGTCTTTCAATAAAATATTATAGTCTTGTGGCACATATGATACTAACAACTTTTAGTCTTTGTATATTTTATCTGATGAGATTATCTACAAAAGATTATGCCAAACAAAACTCATTAGTCTTTAAGAACTCACAATATACTTTGTTGTTTATGCTACAGTTATAGAAGTTCAGTATCACTTTCAATGATAAAGGGCTCTGGTATAGTATACAGAGTGACCAAAGACCATTTTAGGGCAATATTTTGTGGCAATAACATTCAACTAGATGCCTGGGGAAGCCTGCAAGCAGGACATGAATACAATATTACCTTCCCTCTGATGCCCTTTAGCAACTAACATGCAGAGACATATATAATATATTAGAGGTTAAAAACAACTACCTAACTAGTAGCTATTGATTCTCCTACCCTACATAGATTTGTCTATCTATACATAGATTTGTCTATGTAGGGGGAGGGACATAGATTTGTCTATGTAGAGGGAGGTGCCAGAGGATTGGAGGAGGGCTAATGTTGGACCTATCTTCAAAAAGGGCAAAAAAGAGGAACCTGAGAACTACAGGGCAGTCAGCCTGACATCAATCCCAGGCAAAATTCTGAAACAGACCATAAAGCGGTCATTGTGCAAGCACCTAGAAAACAATGCAGTAATAACTAGAAGCCAAAACGAATTTGTCAAGAACAAATCCTGCCAAACTAATCTGATCTCGTTTTTTGATCAGGTCACTTCCCTTATAAACAGAGGGAATGCTGTAAATGCAGTATATCTTGACTTCAGCAAAGCATTTGACAAAGTGCCTCATGATATCCTGACTAGCAAGCTAATTAGGTGTGGGCTGGTTGGATCAAGTGTCAGGTGGATACACAATTGGCTATAGAATCGTACTCAGAAGGTGGTGATTAATGGGTCCTTCTCTAACTGGGAGGAGGTAAGAAGTGGGGTACCCCAAGGCTCAGTCCTGGGCCTAGTACTCTTGAATATTTTTATTAATGACGTGGATGAGGGAGTGGAGGGAATGCTTGTCAGATTTGCAGATGATACAAAATTGGGCGGAATAGCTAATGCCCTAGAAGACAGAAACAAAATTCAAATGACCTTGATAGGATGGAGCACTGGGCCAAAAGCAACAAAATTAAATTCAGCAGGGATAAGTGCAAAGTACATGCCCCCAGAAAACGAAACCAATTGCAATGTTACAAGATGGGGGATACCTGGCTCAACAAAGCTACAAGTGAGAAGGATCTTAGAATCGTTGTAAATCACGCTAAATATGAGCCAACAGTGTGCTATTTTAGGCTGCATTAATAGAAGTATACAGTAGTTTCCAAATCCTGCAAGGCGCTAGTCCCCCTCTATTCAGCACTGGTTAGGCCTCACCTTGAGTATTGTGTCCAGTTCTGGACACTACACTTGAACAAGGATGCTAACAAATTGGAACAAGTTCAGAGGACGGCGTCAAGGATGGAGGCATTCAAGAAAAACTTGGATAATCACCTGGCAGATATGCTTTGATTGTATTCCTGCGTTGAGCAGGGGTTGGACTTGATGGCCTTGTAGGCCCTTTCCAAGTTCACTTTTCTATGATTCTATTATTCTATGATTCTAATCTCCTTTCAAAACCATCCAGTTAGGCAGCCAACATTATGTTGTGGTAATAAGAACTCTTCTGCTATCCTAATGTCTTTCACTGTCTCCCAACCAAAACAGAGAGCTATTCCCAGAAATGAGTTGGATCCAAACCCATTAGTCATATTTGAGGTACACCCAGAGAAATTCATTAGTTGTGCCTTACTCAAATTCTTTTGATTTCAAGACATCCACATTATATGTGGTTAAGACTGAATGCAAACCATTAAATGGTTCAGAATTAAGGAAAAATCTGTATTGAAAACAGCCAAGTTCACCATGGGATGACAGGCTCCCTAACATACATACTAGTTTCTAGCTTCCCCTTCCATCTATAAAGTTCCTAAGAAGAAAAAGTAGAATCTGTTACATCCCACTCTTCAAACTATTTCTATCCAGCCATGTAACTGGGATATGTCTGAGATATACTAACTACCAGACATCAACAGTGATCAATGCTCATTTAAGGACGCATCCCCTAGTCATCAAACCCCATTAAGGAAATATATCGAAAGATTAACAATAGAAAAAGGTAAATAGAAAGTTTGGCATGTTTAGCAGACTCAACATAATTGTAGATTGATTTGTAAGTTTATATTCCACCTAATCAATAATGCCTGAGATAGCTTACAACCAAAAATATTTTAAACATTAAACCATGTGATGTGACTGCCATTTCTATCCAAAGATGACAATTAGCTATTGAGCCCTATAAAGGCCAATAGCTCAATTAGCTATTGAGTCCCCTCAACATCCCTCTTCAGCTCTGTCCTCCATCCTCTCAGCAGGCCAAGTGCATGATTTTACATGTAGGATAGGATAGGTATGCAGTGCAGGATTGGTTGAGCAATTATCAGTCTGTGCAAAAATCGTGATTGCTGAAGATATTCAAGGTATCAGGTGCCATGACTCTGCAGTGAAATGTAAGGATAGGAGAGATGCTGGGAGGTTTAGTTCCAAAAAAAAAAGCAACTTTCCCAAGCTGTGGAAAAGGGGATTAGCCATCCCCATGAATCATTCCCACAGA